TTTTTTTTTTTTTTTTTTTTTTTTTTTTTTTTTTTTTAATGAGAAAGAAGTGACTAATAGATAGGTTTCAGGCAGAACTAGATCAGGTATGTGTATGTGTCAGGGCTGGAGCATGCACTTCCACGCGTTGAGTTAATATTCCAAAAAGCCAAAATCAGAATGTGTTCACTTGTTTTCAGGAAAAAAAAAAAAAACACACATCATTTGTCTAAATTAGTAACCTCTGCACTGTTGAATCCTACTAATAATTGTCATGATATTAGATATATTTTAGATGCTGTGGGTATGTGAGGATGTTTGGCTTGATCTTAATATTTTTCATTAATAGCCCAGAAGAGGGAGTAAACAACATATTTATGGAATTTAGATGTCAAAATGAGGAGAATTGTGAATGTCACTGAGAGCTAGAAAATAGAAGATTCTTGTTTAGTGAAGCACAAGTTAATATAGCTTTAGCAAAAATAATGCAAAACCACTGAGTGGTTCCTTTGGGTAACAGCAGACAGGAAATTGGACATGAAGTTGTACTTTGCTTTCACATTTTAAAAAAATGCAATCCTATGCTGTGTCATTAAAAGCTTCTGTCACAGAGCAGGGGGATATAATTGGTATAATCTGGTTTCACTGATGCTCTCCTTTCTGCTTACCTTTCCTTGAGGAAGGCATTAACTAATTAAAGTGCACAGAAGAACAAGAAAAATGATCAGGAGCCTGCAGGGATGGATTTAAGGAAGATTAACTTCTATAGCTATGTGGCTTTGTTACTCTCGAGCTGAAGAGTGAGGGGAGGGAAGGAGGGAAGCAACAACCCTTGACAAATCCGGAGTGTGTGCACACTGGTAAGGGGGAAAGGAGTTGGGGGGCCTGGTAAAAGGACGGGCATGTTTGGGGAAGGGGAGAATGCTCAAGGAAAACCTCCCTGCAGGGGAATGTAAGGCCATGTAATACTCTTACCCAGACTGTTGAAAGCCTTGCTGTGTAAGGCTGTTAAAAACCAGACTGGCCCAAAGGCTAACAAATGCACGGTGAAGAGCAATCTGCATTCAGCAGATTAGTTGAATCAATAACGTCTTTGCCATTTACAGCTTCTGTTGTTGTAGTAATAATAATAAAATGTAATAAGCTTCAGAAGCTTTAATGCACAGGAGTCTGCAATATCTGCAGTGAAGTTGAAAGTGATGCCAAGTTAGGTGAAACTAAACCACGTAGCTCTACAGTGGACTTTTTCCCTGATTCTGTGGTGTATTTTTTTAAAGTTACTGTACAACACTGATAGATATCTCAAGCCATATAGACACCCACATCTCTTGAAAGACTTTACCCATCCCACCCCACTGCAGAGTTCAGCCTTCATGTCATTACTGGGAACAAACTTGGCAACTGGGAAGACATCAGAGGAATGATCCTTCCCATACTGCTCACCACCTACACTTACATTTTGAAACAGGCAGCCTGAAAACAAGGATGTTTTTGGACGTGCAGATGATACAAATAATAACGACACTACTTGGTGACTGCAATTTGTCATCAGACTGAAACAAAACTGCTCAGGACTGATAATTCTGCAAGTTTTCCTTGTCTAGGCCTTTGAACCTGTTGGTCTGCTGCACCCTTAGACGTACACTCTGGGCCACTCTGTCCCACAGGAGCTGCACTCCAGATGGGAGCTGACGGGTGGATTTTCCTTCTTCCTGAAGTTCAGGTACCTTAAAAGCCCACCTCAGCTAGCTGCATCTCCAGAAACGAGCTGCTAGCCAGAAGACCTTTGGTTTGGTATTTGTGTAATAGAAATGCTCCAGTGGAAATAAAAAAGTAGGTAAGTGTTAAAAAGAAAAAAATGTAGTTCTGCCATCCCAACAGAAGACTTCTCTGGAAGGGCAAAATAGTTTAATTTATCTCTGTCTTTTTGCAACTTGTTGATGAAGAAACATAATGGTTCAAACCCCTTTGCTGAATTTATTTAAATAGTGGATTCTTTTTCTTCCTTCTTGACTAAGGGCAAGAAAGACTCTAGTACTGGAACAGCAGCTGGTTTTGGGCCCTTTGATCTGTTAGTAAATCCTTTAGTTTACCACAGTGGTATTTTATTTGACACCTGCTACAAGTAGTCATAACAGTTATTTTTAGGGTTTTTTTCATGTTTTTCATACAAGGCTTAAGCATAGACAAGCCCTTAAGTTGTCCTGGTGCGCTCGTGTACAGTGGTGACACAAGTTAAATGACCAAGTTACTAGAAATTAATGTTTTTCGGTAACTACAGGGGACTTTAATTGGAAACTATGTTAATCGCATAGTAATTCTCTTTACCTCGTCTGCATTATCTCCTGAAAACCGTGCAATTAATTTGTGTCATCACTGTTGCTGCTGCTGCCTTCAAACACAAACCAAATGAGCATTAGTTACTCACACACCCAGCAGTGGCCTATTTTCTTAAAGGACTTCCACAAATCACTGGCTGATTACTTGCTCGCCTGACGGAACCAGACTGCACGTACCACAAAAGGTGGCAAAGAGTAGCTCTCTTCAAAGTCTGAGCTTTTTAATCACCTAATCTTTTCTTTCTTTTCTGCCCTTTCCTTTTTTCTTAGAAGGAACATTACTTTGTGTGTTTATAATATCTAATATTAGCTTGACACAACCTAAGGACTCTAAATCATTAGCTGGGACTTTCCCTTCCCCTTCTAGCAAAGATATTGGCCTCATTTTTCAAACTAATATGAGACCTTGGAGTCCTCTTTGACTTGTCTCCACCTGGCCAGTGACCAAAGCCCCTCACACTCTGAGCTGATGGTGAAGGTGTGGGTGTCTGTCCCTCAACACTGCTGGAGCTGCAATGGGGAGCTCAGGGGGCCCAGGAGGTGTCTGTGTGACCTGGCAGTGCAGTTCCTCCATGGGAAAAACCCACCAGCCACCACATCCTTTTTCCATTGGCTTGGTGGCCACTGGCAGCTCAAGTCAAACTCCTGGCCTTTAAAAATGCCTTTGGTCAGCACCCACCTTCCCTGCAGGCAATCACAAAAGGCAGTGGCTGATTTTTGACAACTTTCCAACCCGAGGTCTTAGACTGGGCTAGAGACTGGTGGAGAAACCCAGCGTGCTGGTTTAGCTCCACAGGGAACAAGCCAGCAGACCCTCAGGGATGGCTCTTGGGAAAGACTGAGCTGGAAGGCTGGTTTTGCCCTGTAATGACTCATGAAGCGGAAATTTCTAAAGTGGCCACTTGGGAGAGGGGGTTATTTACTAATGTTGGTAGAGACAACTGACCTCAGAGAGAAACAGAGCCTGCAGAATTGCAGACTGACTTCCACAAGGCCTAGAAACAGATACTCAGGGTCATTACTAAGTTAGTGCCCATCTGTGGCTACCAGAATTGCCTGTCTGTGATGACTTTCTTTTAAAGACTTCTTTTCCCTCTTGCCAGTTTCCCTTGCTTCAGCAGAACTGTAAAACTGAGGCTGCCCTAATTTGTTCCTGAAGGTCTCCAAGCAGCTCCACTCCTGTGAGAATAGCTAGGTGAGAGTCACAGAATCATGGTATGGTTTGGGCTGGACAGGACCTTAAAGATCAGCTAGTTCCAACCCCCCTGCCATGAGCAGGGACACCTTCCCCTAGACCAGGTCCCCCCAGGCACGTCTCTCTTGGCAGTTACATTTTTCCCACAGTGTTAATGAGACACTCCTAATCGACAAGAATATGAGTCGGTAATTGTGAGAACTGCATAAAGGCAGCTGCTGTATTTCCTTACAGGTGTGGGGGCAACCAGTGTTGAGGTGACATCACGCATCCCCTCGCCTGGCTCCATGTTCTGAACAGAACCTGCTCTTCCCTGGTTTCTGTACAAGGCAAGACCATGTGAGTCTGGATCTGTTTGTGGCGAGTTCAGCGGCTCCCAGAGGAGTCTACATGACCTTGCACTTTTAAAATGATGTGGTAAATACACCTGGCTGACATTTAGCATGGTGACGTGCTCCTCAGGTAAAGCAGTAACAGCAAACAAGTTGTTGCTCTACGTACATTAACTGGCACTTAAACGTCAGGTTCGTTTATCTGCAATGGGCATGAAAATGCAGGTGGAAAACGGGGAGTGTGGGTGTGAAAGAAGGAATCCCCCTCCTCCCTGAGCATTGCCTGGCTGTGCTAGAGAGGCAACAACAGGCCCCCATCTTGGGTTTTGCCCATGACTTACAAAATTTTTACTGCAAGGAAAGTCTTTTGTGTTTTTTTGGTTTTTTTTTTCTTTAACTTACCCCTCCAGACCCAGAAGCATTGGTAATGAGAAGCAGGCGAGGGGTTCAGTTATGCACAATGCAGCTAGGAGGCCACAACAGGGTATGTGGGGAGGCAGGGAAGGGATCTCCTGTTTGCTGTTAATTACAGTTAGAAAATGGACTCACTTGGGAGACCTGATTTATTTCCAGAGTTATTGACAATCTCTTAACTGGAATGATAGAATGAAAAGCAACCGTCAGTGAGTTATGAAAGGTCAATAATGCCACAAATGACTACAAACAGCATATTTGAAATCCAGCCCGCCCTGCATTCGGTTTATGCAATAATTTCACCCCAGGTGAAACGCCTTTGGGGGAGACTGGAGCACCAGCCTTTCTTCTGCTCCCAGGAGCCTCCAAGGGGGCAGAATACGCTGGGGTGCTGTATGGTCCTTTAGCACCTTGCAGCTGATTGCCATGGGAGTGTGGCTGTGTTGGAGTGTGTTTCCCTGGTAGAAGGCAGCATATTTCAGGCTCCTTAGCAATCCCTGCACCTGGAGCCTCTGTTGGCCTCTAGCTGCTCCCTGCCAGCACAAAGGTCTTACAGCCTCCCACCGTCTTGGTTAGGCCATGCCAACATTATCTAAAGGAGTCTTAAAATGCTGATAACTTACTTGCATCACCCAAAAGATGTAATGAGGCGTTTGAGGGAGTCAGGATTGAGC